CCTCCGCTGCTGCAAACACAATCGGGGCAACCCTTTGCGAGGATAATGGAACATCTCAATTACAAAGTTTACTTTTATCATAAAGTATATGGACAAAAAGTCAACACCTGATTCCGTCTATACGTTAAGGCACAGCTCAATAATAAACACAACACACCTCAGCAAAGACAAAGAATTCCATTAGCGCAAGATTAGCATCATTTGATTCATAGGGTCTGTTCCAGCTCTGCAGTTCTGAGATGATTATGTTATACTTTGACTGCATCCTACTTCAATTTACCTTGAAGAGGTCTTGGAAAATAAACCTGATCCTAAAAGATTACCTTAAGGAAACTATCAACCACTTACTATATTTTCCCCACAAAGTGTTTTTTAACAGTGAGCATTCTTTACCTCTGAAAAGTTAATGGTTGTAAAATTTACACTCACAAACTTTCCTGGTGTTGAAGGAACTTCTTTCTGAAGCAGACCCCAACATTTCCAACTTGCTACCACATCTGTTTGGACAGTTTCAAAGGTATTTAACAGCTTTCATGGGGACCTGAGAACTGAAATGATCTCATTCCTGTCCTCACATAAACATTGTTTTAAAAACACACAAGTACTTATACACACACACACTTCGAGCATGTGCTCTTATTAATGTTCCATCTCTGATAAAAATACAGCTTGAAAAAAATATAAGGCTACAGCTTCTGAAATCCCTTAATTGTCATGGCCGTTCGCCGTTAGCTGGTAATTTCTGAAAGGTGTAGCAAGGTAATTCTTCTAAGCTCTGGGTATAAATGCATGGGGGAAAAAACCAAGTCCAAGGAAATTATATTGAAATAAATATGTTTAGTTCTACAGTTTCTGCTGTTTTACACAACAAAATATTATATACATGTTCAGTTTGCAAGCTATGACAGTTGCCATAGGGGAGACAATCGATATGGGCATGACATTCATTTATGATTTTGAACTGGTAGGAAATGGAATGCCTGCAATTATGAATATACATATGTACATACACATATATTTTGCTTCTCATTGGCTTGTTAGCACACTTGTTGCACAAAGTCCATAATTACCTTGGATGAAAGAACATTAATCTCAATAAATTAGTGTATAAAAGTACACTGAATGTGTGTCACATTAAATTACTCACAGAAAATATTTTACTGCTGCCTCAGTATGAACTAGCTGAGAGAGAGAGAGAGAAAACAGCATGGCAGCTTTTATGTAAACAAAATTAAAGAAAAAATCTGTTCATTGACTTTTCTTATTTTCTCTTCTTGCTTTTCTTTTCTGTTGCACTGTCTTGAGTTCTGTCATTACATTCACTGTTTTATAAACCCAGGCAATCTGAAAAAAATGAATAAAATTATTTTCAACTGAAGCATCCTTCACTTTGTATATTAATAGTGAATTCATTTACCAAATATCTTTCCTCATGTAGCCAAAATGGCAGTATCCCTGCACAATAGCAGGTACAGAAGAATTCCAACAACTGGAATTAAAAAGGGAAGGAAATAGAAGAGTAGGACTCAACATGTCCCAGTAAGGACTAAATGTAGACTGACTGTTATGAGAGGTGAGGAAGAGACAACCAGGTGTATCTTGAAAGGGTTGGCTGCCTAGCTATAGGGCAACATTTTACTGATTTACATCCAGCCAACCCACATTTCTAAGGCAGGAGATCAACACTTACCACAATTATGATGGCATTTATTAGTAATGGTGCTGAGAACACTAAGGAAATAAACAGTCCTCTTGAATCAAAGTACTGATGTTTTGAAAACAATCTGCAAAGGAAAGGAAAATGAATGCTGGAATCCAATATACATTCACCTGGGAATAAAACACTTGAGATCACCAGTGCTTCCTTTAACACAGATATATACAGAATTATGTCAATAAACTCTGTACACTTATCATTGTGCATTTATATTTCACATTTGATTGGACTGTTCCATGGTCATCCTTAGAAACGTGTGCATCATCTCTAACCCCTAGGCCAAATTCTTCAGGGAGGTTTGGTTCTGCATTATCTATACTTCTGTGTTCCAGTCATCTGTGTTCTTCATCCTGTTTCAGTGTGCAATTAATTTCCTCCTGCACACTTGCACAGTCTCTTCAGCATCTATAGTTGGAATGAAGATATGAATGATGTCTATCTTTACAGGGCAGAATTCTGACTGAGATTACTCGGTCAGATTTTGCATAACTGCTTGCACCACATCTCACATCCCTATTAGAACCACATCATTTCCTCTGAGTTTTCCATTTCCCAAGGAAAGTATCTCATAGTTATCTGATTGAAAATATCCTATTCCAGTGGTTCGCAACCTTGGCTCCTCAGATGTTCTTGGACTACAACTCCCAGAAATCCTGGCCAGTACAGCCAGTGTTGAAAGCTTCTGGGAGCTTTTGCCCAAGAACATCTGGGGACTCAAAGATGGGAATCACTATGCTATTCCAATTCACCTTAACTTAGTTACCAGTATTACAATGTTTACATATTCCTGCTTTATTGTTTCAAACTTGATTTCAACTTGTCATATTCCATGTCCTAATTATACACATTATGAAGCTTTTCCTCTGTGCTTCTATTCACATAAGCAACTAGATGTCCTTACAATACTATTCATACTCATCTTTTGCTCTTCCCCAGTAACTGACTGATGGTCTTTCTCCTGAGGAGTCTCATCTTTCAGTACTATCTCTTCTCTCATTTTTGGACTATCTCATCATAGGATTAGATATAAAGTGTTCAAAAGTAGTTTACTACTGCCCCTGTGCCGTATCTACAAGAATTAGCCTCAGTGTCACTGCTATTATCTATGAAAGATCATCCAGCAACTTCCACCAATGCTGCTGCCTAGTAATTGCCCTTTGAGAATTTCTCAGTATCCATCACCACTGGAACTATTACTTCTCTTCTGCTGATACAACCATTAACTGCTGAATGGGGCGGATGTATTTTAGCCTGGTATCTCAGCTTTGACATTCTGCCTCGGGCAGCCCTAGCAAAACTGCTATCAGCTTTCTTAGCCTACTCAAGTCCCATCAGCACATTAAGGCACATATTGAAGAGGAGGAATTATTCAATACATGGGAACAATTTAGAAGTCTAATAGTTTCACGTAGAATCCCAGAGTTTAGCTTGCTGATACCCAACATCAAAACATGTTTTTTTGTTTCAGATGGCTGCATCTACATATGTTTTGATAGGTGTGCAGTTATGGCAATTTGACATTTGGTTTCCTGAGCTTTCACATTGGCTTCTTATTCCTGTAGGCCTAAAGTCCAAATAGCCTTAATTCCTGCTCATGCTACAACAGTGTCATTCTTTGCTTTAGGCCATGCCCCTTAACACCTTTTTTCCTCTCTTATTGTTCCTCCCACCTTGTGTAATGTTTTACCACTTAATAATTGTTTCGTATATTAATTTTATTGTATTATTTATGTTGTTAGCCGCCTAGAGTGGTCCTGACCCGACCAGATAGGCGGGATATAAATAAAATAAATAAATATTATCAAACTTGCAGCCACTCAACTGACACGGCAACCTAAACCTGTACAGACGTTTATTTCTCCACAAGGAATATAGTAAAATATCTGTACAGAAGATCAGTCAGGTTTAATAGTATACCAGAACTCTATAGTTACCACTTTCTTCATAGATCCACATACTCTGATGCATGTGTGTGAACCTTCTGTGCACGGATTTCAGCTGGGAAGCACAGCCACACATATAAAGAAACATCTACAGACTATCTGTTATTTACAATGAAAAGAAAAAACTGTTCTGGCTTGATGTATGACAAACCACTGGATTGAGGAATTTAGGTGCAGTCCATCTGACTTTAAATTCCTTCCCTTACCACTGTCTGCAAAAGGATGGAATCTTCCTTCTTGTGCAGATATGTGAACATACAATGCTGCATGTCTAATGTGCGCAATGCAGGAATCCACCTCAATACATATTTCTTCTCTAGGGAACACAATGTGCTCTCCCCCACTACAAAATATGGTTATGGTCTTACGCAGAATATATAGAGCATTCTGAATAGACACACTTTTCAAGAAAAGCTACAACCAGAACTTTTCTAGCAATAAGGTTTTCAAAAGCTTAATGACGTGGTAAGGCTTGCCACTTCAGACTCTAGCTTTTAATTTTAGATACCCAAAATACTAAAACCTTTTCCCAAGTGAATAAATTAACACCTGCTCCTTGCCACTTGCACAACTCACCACCCCCTATGGCATTTGGCTCAACTCAGCCATGAGAACTGTAATAACTCTTGAATTAACGTGCACCTGCTGGAATCACATTTTCAATAATCCTGCTGTTCAGTGTTGGTTTTTGCTAACAGGAGGTCCAATTATACAAGCCACCATAAGGGGCATAAACCAATACCTGGAAGGGAAAGCCTAACTCTTCCCATTTATTCTAAGTCACAAAGCTTTTTTCCTTTTAAAGATTGTTGATAAAAGAACAGGACATGAATATTTGTCTAACACAACATCAAAGCATCTAGATAATAGGAAAGTTTACAAGATCTTACACATGAAAGGTGTAGACAAGCCAGACTTAAGCACTTTGATTGCAGTGTCTGAAAACCAACCACATATTCAACTCTTTTGCTGTAATCAATAGGAATAGTTGCGGCTAGCCTCATGTTTTGAGAAACGGAGAATTCATCTACTGTTTCTCCATTTCACTCTGCACTGCTAGGAGTAATCTGTGACAGAGATGGGTCTTTCAGATTTTGGAAGCTGCATCCAAAAAGAGAAACTGCCTTGGTGGTGGCTGGAAGTGACAAGGCTCCATGGGAATTACAAAAGTTCTTGGGATGGGTAGTTTTTTTGAGAAGCTCCCTATACAGAGCCTAATGGACAGCAAGACAAGCTGTTCCATAAACCCTTGTGACTCCCATAATCTGGTTCTTGCCACTACCGGAGAAGTTTCCTTCTTCATGAAAGACCAGTAATTGCAACAAGACCCATGTGTAGGTAATGAATTCTTCTCCATAAAATTCCATTTTTGGCTGCACTCCCAGAATTCTGCCGGAGTCCAAAGAAATCCACAAGTCCCACCCCCAATCTGCCCAAATATGACTGATTCATTCAGTTCACAATCTTCATTTTATGGCCAAGGGTGTGACTAGACATGCATTTATCCTGCAGTTTGGTCTGGGTACAAGGAGGAGCTAGATAGCTCTTTTTTTTCTTTCTCTTACTTTGTTTCTGATGTTCTCATAGATTTATATTCAACTCTTCAAAAAACCTCCAGCATGTGAATATGAGATATTATGCTTCTGTAACCATGATTCAAAAAGCCAGGAAATGGCCTGGAACTGCTGCACGATATCATGCCCAGGTTGCCAGCAGGAAAAAGAATGCCAAGCTCCACATGGCAAAGGGCAATCTGAATGTTGACAACACTAAAGTCAAGATGGTAGATGAAAATTCTCAGTCTTGCTTTCACAGGGTATTGACCATGACCTTTGGGGCCACAGGATTTTATGATTCTTAGTTTTGTTAAAGAAAGTTTGGACCCCAATTAAGAAAAGAAAAAACAGAAAACTAGCACATTTGATCAACCATTACAGAATGCGTCTTCAAATAGGATAAATTTATTTATTTATTTATTGTATTTAAACTACTAGTAGGATTGATAAGAGAAAAACAGTGTGTTTTCTTGCAATGAAAGGTCAAGCAGACAGAGCTATAAAGATGGGATGTTCATTCTTCTCCTCTTGCTTTGCTTGCCTGATGTTTTTAATCAAAATGGAGAGAAGGGTAATTTTACTAACTCAGTATTCCTAGATCTTATTTTTACTGTAACTTTAGTGAAGCCTTGAGTACTTTTTATTTATTGCTTTGCTAAAAACTATTTAAAAACACTGAACTTTCCATTAGAGTGGCAAATATCATTTACAGCAGAGAATGTAGAATATTTACATTAACTGGATTGCAAAGACTAGCAGATCATGGTGGGAGTTTAATATTTTATATATTTTATACACTACACATATAGTAGGGCTGGAGGTTCTGTTAGAACTGGTAGCTGTTTTAAACCAATGTTACATTACGGTAATTTCCATTTTCTTCTATTTATACACACTCGCACACATAAAATACCTAAGAAAAATTTGTAGTATTCCCTTGTTCATGATAGCCACACTGTACCACACAGTTCTGTTTCTATTGATTAATCTAGAGATGTTATGAACGCTCAAAGATTTTCTTGTTCTGTGATTTTCTAAGTCTTTCCAACAGCCATTCTGCAAAAGTGGAAGTGAAAATGGGGAAATGTGGGTAATTGTATGCAGGAAACATGCTGATCTGTACAGGAATTGCAACAATTCTGCACTGATTGGTATGTCTTCCAGGAAAAAACTGACCATGAAGTATCTGAGAGATCCCACAAGAAATCCCACAATATTTCTTGTGGGATTTTCTAGGTGAAAAATTCATGCAGAAAAATACTGTAGCAAGGAGAAAAGTGGGATTTTTTTTTCAGATGCACAATGTTATTTTAAATATTGTGTACTACTATTTTTAAGATCATGTATTGCTTATTTTCCACACTTCTGGAACATCTATGACTTTTCATCATGAAATTCTAAGAAATGTAAATTCAGTACATGTTTGACATGGTGCCTTAACTGTCTAAGAAATGTAAATTCAGTACATGTTTGGCATGGTGCTGCCTTAACTAGCACTCTCCATAAACTCTGTGAAACAAACTAAGTGTAATAAAAATGCCTTATTCAAACTGGTTAAACAAGATGCAAATGTTTTGTAGGAACATCAAATAAAGAAGTTGGTCCTTCAGTTACCTCCAATTAGCAGCAGCTGTTTCATTTATATATTCGGCACATAATACCAGGACCACTAAAAAAGGGAGACAAAAACATCTTTCACATCATTGAAGAATATTAAACATGAAATTGTACTTAATATGCAAAGTTATTGCAGCTTTTCTACCACCACTTATCAACCTGGAAGGTGCAGCAAAACATATGCTTTGTGCCCAGGTTAAATTCCAAGTTTTACTGGCATGGCCAAATTAAGGGAGACGATAAAACTACTATTTTATATCAGGGAAAACAGATACAAAACCTTTCTTGTTTTCAACACAAGGTTACTTTTGCACTGACAGCTATGTTGAATTATATTTATGTTGAATCTGACTTCAACCGGTGAAAAAAGTTCAATATCTACATGTTGAAGTTTTAGATACAGTATATCCATTGTCACAACTAGGCTAACTATGGTAGTTTATGATCATACTAATCAATTACAGTAAAAGAATGATACAATAAAAATGAAGCAAAGCAAAAGCAAAGTAGGCTACTTATATACGACTCCAAAGTGCCTAAAGCACTCTTGGGGTGGTTTACAATTTAGTTATACAGGCTACACATCCACCCCATGAGCTGAATACCCAATTTACCAACCTCAGAAAGATGGAAGGCTGAGTCAACCTTGAGTCAGCTACAGAACCCTGGGTTGTGAGCAGTTTTGGCTGCAGTACAGCAGTTTAATCACTGCGCCACGAGGCTCCTTTCGTGCAATGCAAAATGGCCACTATATAGCTAAATTTAAGAGTGATGGAGCAAAACTGGGTAATTTTCCCAATCTGCAAGTAACAGAGAATAGAGTCATGGGCAGGGCGAGATTTGAAACAATTTATAAATCCATGCTTTTCACCCTTCCTCGTATGCAAAAAGTATTTTAAAAACAGGAATTCCATCTGCTATCTTCTCAGTTAATATAGACATCCACATCCACACTACGCTTGCAAACGATGTCAGGTTCAATCTCTATCATCTTCAGGTCAGCAGGAGAAACCTGTGCCTGACACCATGTACAGCACTATCAGTCAGTCACTGTTGACAAGACAGAGTTACTTGCATCAACGATCAAGAGTCTACAGATACCATCCTATATTTCTAATGGAAAGGCATAGATTCTAACTAGGCATTCATGAACAAAATAGACTGTTTCAAGCAGCAAAGGAGCCAGTTGGTGGAAAGAGTAGTAGTCATCCTCTGGAACAGCGGTTCCCAGCCGTGGGTCCCCAAATGTTCTTGCACTAAAACTCCCAGAAGAGTTCACCACTTACTGTGCTGGCCAGGATTTCTTGGAGTTGTAGTCCAAGAACATATGGGGAAGGTTGGGAACCCCTGCGTAAGAACACTGCTCAGTCTTCACATGGTCTCCAAGGGCAGCTTTTCAGGGAAGGGGAACACAAAGGGGCACTAAAATCCCCCCCTTGGCTGATGAGAGCATCCTGTGAATACAGTACTACCATCCCTTCCACCTATTGATGGAGCACTGGTCAGGTGCTAAGCCTTTGTTTTACATTATAGGGAGAGACAGAGAGTGAGGGTGGCCACATTCATTATTTTAATATATAAATATATATGTGGATGTGAAATCAACAGGGAGGTAATTTTAAAAAAGCCTTCATTGAATACTCACTGATAGAAAGAAAATGTCCTATTTGCAGGTGGTAGTGGCGGAAGGAAAAATAAGTGAGAAATAGACAGGAAACGTGGAAACATACAAGGCCTAAGATCCATGGTTCAGACCAGTCTGTGTCCTATAAACAAAAATGGAAACAAAAGATATCAGCATGTGACCAAATAAACAAAAATGGAAACAAAAGATATCAGGATGTGACCAAACTTATAGATATGATGATTCTTCTTTGCTTTTCTGAGACCTCGTTAAGCGAGGCACCACTGTACATGATGATTCTTCTTTGCTTTTCTGAGATGGTACATATAATTCCTTCATATCCTCCATTTAGTTCATCAAAGGTTTGAATACTCGTTTGAAAAAGGTTTGACAAGAAATTCTTCTGAGGAGGAAGGGATCAAACAAACCAATTTACAAGCAGTATGTATTATTTGGAATTGATAACAAACTATGTGTTCATAGCTCATACAAAAGCAGAATAAACATGGGTCTGATTTAGAGTTTTACCTCTACACAATCATACATAACTAGATCTAAAATGTTTCCAGCAATATGGGTGACATCTCCAGCTCTGTTAATATCCATGAAGTATGCCATTCGGCAATTATCTTGAGAGTCGAGAAGCGAGCAACAGAATGTAAAAATGCAGAAAGAATGCTCTGCTCTTATCTCTTCTGCTGTCCTCTAGCCTAGCAATTCCACAATGCCAAATCAAAAGCATACATGACTGTTTAAGCATAGAGGTTTTGGTCAAAACACAGTTATTTGGGGAAAAGACAAAATATTGTGATTCTCCACCATTTATTTTGAAAGTACTAATCTGCTCTGGATCCATTAGAATCATTTAAAGTTCTGGCTGAAAATTTATTTCATTTCATAATGGCTCCTTGGCTGAAATCCTCTTGCATATCTATGCTAAAGACATAACTTTTGGAGATAATTTGCTCAAGTTAAGAAATCTCCGTAGATATTATCTGTGGAACACTGACTCGTGTGTTTTTGTATTTTCGATCCTTTTACTATATTATAATATATTTTGGACCCTTTTACTATTAAAAAACAAACAAACTCTATTGGGATCACAATCCAAAAACACAAACCAGAATTCTCTTGTTGTTTGTGCAGGTTTTCATTACATTTTGTAACCAGAATACCCGCTTCAGATTTAAGCATGTATTTTGAGAGATGTAGCAGAAAACCTGCTGCCAGATGGGTGGTATAGAAATCAAATAAATAAATAAATAAATTATAAATAACCTATTGGTGTTCTGTTTGAGAGACAGACACCACATTTTTAACGGCTAGGTCAAGGCTACCATGCTCCTTTCAGAGCTTCCCAGTTTCACCAAACTTCATCCTGCATTTCTACCTCTCATGCACTTGTCTTCTGAATGTGCACACACCACAAAAGGATACTCCCCAACTCGTGGAAATTAACCACACTCTAAAATTAAAAATGCACATTATATAAATAATAGTTATAATAACACACACATACGTATAACGTACATACACATATTTTAGACACACACGTATATATGCATATGTGTGTGTGCATGACACATACATATACATCGAGAGATAGAAATGAAGTATCCCTCATCCAGATTCCTCTTTCCAGAGGATGAAGAGGAGAAGTGAGACGTGAGAAGAGATCCTGTTCTTCTTGTCTCGCCAGAGGAACCTTCCACCACTGCTTTTTTTCTGACCGACTCTCGTTTCTCGCCCTTTTCGTCTCACGGGGCTTTCCTCTCGTAAGCAAGCTGCGAGCTCTCTCCCCCCCCTCCCCCCGCTGCCGGTGTCACCAGTGATTGAGTGTGTGTGGGGGGGAGAGAGAGCGAAAAAGGATGATAGGGGATGTTGCCTCCACCCCCCGCGCAGGGGAGAAGAAAGCAAGCAACCCACGCACCCATTTCCTCCCCTCCTCCCACAAGACAACTGCTTCGATTCTCTCCGGGTGGGCGAAACAACAGCCAGGCCTTCTCCCTCCTCCCTCACTCCCCCAATATTCCCCCCCCCGCTTGAATTACCGCCAGGATCCTCGTGACCCCGAGGGGCACGCGCCGCGGAGCTTCCATGGCAAAAGAGAAACGGGAGCCGTTGGCCGGATGCATGCGCAAGAAAGCCCTCCCCCCCCAAGAGTTACATATACTTCCGGTTTCCATGAAAAGCTGCACTTGCGGGTCGACTTGGGGGGCGGGTGGCTACTGAAGACTTCTGTTTTCTCGACTACAATGCCCAGAAAACACCCCATCCTAACATCAAAAACTTGGCAACATCGCTCCTGCCTCTTCCCATCTTGATTCCTTTCCCTTTCCTTATGTTACAGTTTCCCGCCTTTCGGGTTCGAAAGGAATCCGGAAGTGTTTGAGATCGCTTCCAGTCACTTTGGTGCCCCTAGGGAAGGCGCCTTGCTCTTCAACAGGTTGCCTGAGGGGATCGAGAGCAGAAGAAGGGGAGAAGAGTTGTGGCTCTCGCGAGAGAAAAATCTCGTGGGCAGGCTGGAACTATATTAATAAGGCTCTAGCGGCGCACGCGGCGCCATTATGCAGTTTGCTGCGGGAGGGCGAGGGAGGCTGTGTGAGAGGGCGTGTTAGTTGCGTTTAGGAAGGGACGAGCTGAGGAGAATGAAGTTTAAATCCGGTTTTCCAGAAGACGAGAGAAATAGAAACTTAGGGAAAGGTTCCAGGGGTAGCATACTAATTAGCCTCCTAATTTATTTCTATTAGAAAAAACAAAATCATGGCAATACCACAAGCGGTAGTTCAAGTTTTCTTGAAAAGAAGATTCTAGGGAAAGTGTAGTTCATGGTTCCAATGAGAGGAAATGAATTTTAGGGAAGTTACATAGCGAGGGATTATCACAGTTAAAAGAGTAGAAGACATTTCAAAGCAAGTGCTGCGGTTAGTCGTGAGGGGAGGGAACTTAGTTCTGTCAAGGTAGAAACAACGCCAAAGAATGAGGCTTCAGCTGCCATTTTTTTCTTTTTTGCAAGATTTAGAACAGGTATATGCTTAAACTGCCTTTAGTAAAATTTACTTATATCTTGCACATACTGCATGGGGGTGTTCTCTTGGCAGTTTTAGAACACAGATTATTAAAATGTGATTAATAAAAGGCTGGTCAAATATTTACATTTTAGGAGGCTTTTTAAAAACTAGGAGTGTAGGTGCCTGCTGGACTGCCAACTGCTACAGGAATTTATTCCAAAAATGTGAAGCCACAATAGAAAACGCTTGGTTTTAAAAGCTAGTCATTTGTAGTATTCAGACTTGGTCTCAAAGGAAGTCATAGTTCAATTCTGAGCAGCAGTTCAAAACGTATTATGGGTATAAATGGAGTACTAAGCTGTGTAATATTAGGGTGTTGGAAAGTGTCTATCGTGTACTAATAAAGACTTCAAAACAGAACCCACTCTGCTGTACGAGGCTGAAGTTAGCTTCTTTTTTGGCCAGCTTCTTATTCACTTCTTATTTGTGTCCCAGCTTCTTTATTCAGAACATGTTGTATTTAAACTATTAAACCAAGTTGGATCACTCAAATATCAGTGTATTAATAATAAATCATATCTCTAACACAAATTACAATAGTATTTTGCCTGGCCCAACACTGTTTTGGGTGTGGAATAGGCTGGCAAAGTGGGCACTGCTGCATATTTTACCACTTTGAATAAGAAGTTGGAGTTTTGCAAGGGTTAATGAGCCTTGGGCCACAATTTTCACACCAGAAACCAACAGAGGGGGGTCACATATGAGCCACTTGTATTTTGCCTGGCCCAACACTGTTTTGGGTGTGGAATAGGCTGGCAAAGTGGGCACTGCTGCATATTTTACCACTTTGAATAAGAAGTTGGAGTTTTGCAAGGGTTAATGAGCCTTGGGCCACAAATTTCACAACAGAAACCAAGGGGGGGGGTCACTTACATATGACCCACTTGTATTTTGCCTGGCCCAATGCTGTTTTGGGCATGGAATAGGCTGGCAAAGTGGGCACCGCTGCGTATTTTACCATTTTGAATAAGAAGCTGGAGTTTTGCAAGGGTTAATGAGCCTTGGGCCACAAATTTCACAACAGAAACCAAGGGGGGGGGTCACTTACATATGACCCACTTGTATTTTGCCTGGCCCAATGCTGTTTTGGGCATGGAATAGGCTGGCAAAGTGGGCACCGCTGCATATTTTACCATTTTGAATAAGAAGCTGGAGTTTTGCAAGGGTTAATGAGCCTTGGGCCACAAATTTCACAACAGAAACCAAGGGGGGGGGTCACTTACATATGACCCACTTGTATTTTGCCTGGCCCAATGCTGTTTTGGGCATGGAATAGGCTGGCAAAGTGGGCACCGCTGCATATTTTACCATTTTGAATAAGAAGCTGGAGTTTTGCAAGGGTTAATGAGCCTTGGGCCACAAATTTCACAACAGAAACCAAGGGGGGGGGTCACTTACATATGACCCACTTGTATTTTGCCTGGCCCAATGCTGTTTTGGGCATGGAATAGGCTGGCAAAGTGGGCACCGCTGCATATTTTA